TGGAGTATAGAGCCAAATTAAACGTTTTAGCTTCACTGTCCAAATAAATACGGAGAAGGAGTCTATTTAGTTTGGAAAGGGCTGCACCCTCACTCCTTAGGAGGGACTGCTTACCTTATCCAGGCAAGCCCTTCATATTGATAAGAGGAGGAAAAGGTCAAAGTGCCACTAGGAGCGGCGTGGGCAGTTCAGGTCAACACAGTGCTGTGAGGGAGGCTGCATTGAGAAGGGAGGAGGAGAGGAGGAGAGGGATATTACTTGATAGCAATCTCTGAGGGGTAACAGAGTGACATGCTGGGCGGACGAGCAGAGCGACATGACAGGTACAAACAAGCACTCTAAGGGCCCCTCAGCAGGCTCTGAGGACAGCAAACAATTACACAGGGCATACTCCTGGGTCACTGGTCAAATTAAGGGAGAGTGAGGTTTTACACATCTCTCTCTCTCTCTCTCTCTCTCTCTCTCTCTCTCTCTCTCTCTCTCTCTCTCTCTCTCTCTCTCTCATAACACACACACTGTAACAGCAAATTCTTTAGGGGCTCTGTGCACCAAAAGGATTATGCTTAACACGGTATGCACACAACTTTCCACAGTATAGGTTAACCTCTCTGCATGAACAATGACTACATTGTTTTCTATAGGTCTTCATAAAGCTGGAGGAGAAACACACAAACAGACGTCGAAAAATGTCAAGAACAAGGAAATGAAGGCAGTATTTCTGTCTCACGGTCCACGAGTCAGGAGCCGACTCCACACACCACAAGTCTGAAGCGACACTTGAACGTCACAATATGGCCATGTGGGGGGTGAGGGGGGGTGACCTCTGTAGTCTCTCTGTGGTCACTGATTTAGGGCCTGCATGTGGAGGCCAGACAGAGCCTGGGGTCGGGGGTGCAAGCTGTGGCCTGAAACAGATGCCTTGCTGTCTAGCCCAGGGGTAGGGGAGGAGGAGCGGGGGTAGGGGGCTGCATGTGAAGTTAATGTGCCCTCAGTTTCCCCCTAGCAACAGTTAAGCAATAGAGAGATATTCCCTGCACCTGTGCCTAGGTCTGTGTGTGTGTGTGTGTGTGTGTGTGCAGACATCCTCCTATGTGTAAAACAGTCTAGAGACAGAATCACTCACATTCTACCATCTTCTTTCCTTCGGAGCGTACATTTCTGAATACAACAGTACACATTGCATTTTACTGCCCTAATCTAAAGGCAAATTCATAGGCCACTAAGGCCAGCCTACAAATCTCCCTTAACTCCATATGTAACACCATTTAACAGTAACTGACAGAACCAGATAGACTTGTGCTCTGTGTACTCTATTTGGCCCGTTTAAAAGACGTACAGTATCCCATTACAGACGTGGCGTATCAATTTATAACAGCCAAGCTCCACTTAAAAGGATTAAGATGTAAGGGCCCTTAATGATCAGCTTTGTCCTAAAGACATCAAAGGCCCTGGTGGAGTGAGAGTGCAGCTGCCCTACCTGACGGTGTGAGCTTCTCCTCTCTCGCTGGCGGTGCGGCCAAGAAAGTGTTTGTGTTGAGGATGTTTACCGATCTCAGGAAAGACAAACAGCTTCATTCTTGTTTGTGGGCCCCCTAGCTCAAACAGAGGGCCGTGGCTAATTTCTGTGAGAGAGAGAGGATGTGTTGCATTGTTTATCTTGTCTCTTTCTTTTTTCTTCCCTCCTTACCACCTTCTCTTTACTTCCACCATTTCCCGTCAGCTGCCATGCCAGATTTATTGTCCCGTGGGTTTTGGTGTGGTTCATCATAGAGCTTTTTAATAGCAGCAAAACAGATGAATTCATTCAAATAAAATAAGATTGCCATTTAGTCCTCATAACACCTTGCAGTCATGCAGTAATTTGTGCATAACAACTTTCAGTCTCGCAGTAACTTGTGAAAATGTATAACACCTTCAAAAAGACCAAATGTTCAACCAAAATATCCTATGTTCAACCAAAATATCCTTTAGAGAGGTACCCTTCCTTGGTTCAGTGCAAAACAGCAACACTTGGTCATTAACTTGTGTTAGTCATGCTACAATTGACCACATGGTGTCACTCTTACTCATCAAAGCTCATTAGATTCAAGCAATGTGACAGTCTTAACAAGGGGCTCTGTTCAATTCCGGTGGTCTTCACAGTGACTTACAATTGAATACCTCCTGCTCCTGGATATTGCAATTGTACCCTATCACGTAAATCTCTAAATATTTAGATATCTAGGTCTCTTCCATTGGATCTGTTGGTGGTAAGAAACAAAAAATGATCTACGCTACAATTAATAACAGTGTTATAAATGTTTTCTGAGGAGGCTGTGATGTTATCATAAAACTGTTCAGAAATACATGATATTGACAGTGAATTAAGGTTTGAGAGAAGTAGGACACTAGACGGCGGCAGGTAGCTTAATGGGTAAGAGCGTTGTGCCAGTAACCGAGAGGTCGCTGGTTCTAATCCCTGAGCTGACTAGGTGAAAAATTTGTCTGTGCCCTTAAGCAAGGCACTTAACCCTAATTGCTCCTGTAAGTCGCTCTGGATAAGAGCGTCTGCTAAATGACTAAAATGTAGACATTTCCTGGATAGAAGCGTTGTTACACATCCAGTGGGCACAACATGTCAGTCTTTGGCTGTAGCTTTTCCTTAGCAAGCCTATAAATCACAGGGGAACAGGCCCTAACAGAGAGGTTTTATGATGCAGAGACTTCCCTTCCATCCTGCAGGGGGTATGAAGCTAACACTGTTCATGTGTCAAAAGCCTTTTAACTGGTAGGGTCCCAAAGCAAGTATTATTACTTTATTGGGCACCATTCAGATGGCTCCTTTGTATTCAATATAAGTCTTACCAATAAATCAGGGAAGGGAGAAACTGAAGGGAAAACATAGCTTACAAATACTGTATTGTGTGTCACTTTTCTCACCATCTAATGCAAGGAGAGTTGAGAGAAACTGATAATGTAATTACAATTGAAATGCACATAGTTACAATTTTCTCTCATAAAACTGTTACACAAACTCTGGAGTCTTTAAGCATCCTCAATTGATCATTCATCCTCAATTCATCCTTAATTGATAATTACATGGTAGGCTACTAGCAGAAAAATGGTATTCACTTTTAATTTAACATAAAATAGTCTTCACTTTTAATTTAACATTACCTGTTTATTTTGCTAGTTAAAATAAAATATTTGCCAAAATGTGTTTATTACTTCATAGGCTACAGTATAGCACTACCGGTCAAAAGTTTTAGAACACCTACTCATTCAAGGGTTTTTCTTTATTTTGACTATTTTCTACATTGTAGAATAATAGCGAAGACATCAAAACTATGAAATAATACATATGGAATCATGTAGTAACCAAATAAAGTGTTAAACAAATCAAAATATATTTTATATTTGAGATTCTTTAAATAGCCACCCTTTGCTCTTGGCATTTTCTCAACCAGCTTCACCTGGAAAGCTTTTCCAACAGTCTTGAAGGAGTTCCCACATATGCTGAGCACTTGTTGGCTGCTTTTCCTTCACTCTGCGGTCCGACTCATCCCAAACCATCTCAATTTGGTTGAGGTCAGGGGATTGTGGAGGCCAGGTCATCTGATGCAGCACTCCATCACTCTCCTTGGTAAAATAGCCCTTACACAGCCTGGAGGTGTGTTGGGTCATTGTCCTGTTGAAAAACAAATGATAGTCCCACTAAGCACAAACCAGATGGGATGGCATATTGCTGCAGAATGCTGTGGTAGCCATGCTGGTAAAGTGTGCCTTGAATTCTAAATAAATCACAGACAGTGTCACCAGCAAAGCACCCCCACACCATAACACCTCCTCCTCCATGCTTTACGGTGGGAAATACACATGCGGAGATCATCCGTTCACTCACACCACGTCTCACAAAGACAAGGCGGTTGGAACCAAAAATCTCAAATTTGGACACCAGACCAAGGGACAGATTTCCACTGGTCTAATGTCCATTGCTGGTGTTTCTTGGCCCAAGCAGGTCTCTTCTTCTTATTGTGGTCCTTTAGTAGTGGTTTCTTTGCAGCAATTCGACAATGAAGGCCTGATTCACACAGTCTCCTCTGAACAGTTGATGTTGAGATGTGTCTGTTACTTGAACTCTGTGAAGCATTTATTTTGGCTGCAATTTCTGAGGCTGGTAACTCAAATTAACTTATCCTCTGTAGCAGAGGTAACTCTGGGTCTTCCATTCCTGTGGTGGTCCTCATGAGAGCCAGTTTCATCATTGCGCTTGATGGTTTTTGCGACTGCACTTGAAGAAACGTTTAAAGTTCTTGAAATGTTCTGTATTGATTGACCTTCATGTCTTAAAGTAATGATGGACTGTCATTTCTATTTGCTTATTTGAGCTGTTCTTGCCATAATATGGACCTCTGTATACCCCCCTACCTTGTCACAACACAACTGATTGGCTCAAATGCATTAAGGAAATAAATTCCACAAATTAACTTTTAAGAAGGCACACCTGTTGATTGAAATGCATTCCAGGTGACTACCTCATGAAGCTGGTTGAGAGAATGCCAAGAGTGTGTAAATCTGTCATCAAGGCAAAGCGTGGCTATTTGAAGAATCTTTATATTTTGATTTGATTAACACTTTTTAGGTTACTACATGATTCCATATGTGTTATTTCATAGTTTTGATGTCTTCGCTAATTTTCTACAAAGTAAAAAATTAAGAAAAACCATTGAATGAGTAGGTGTTCTAAAACCTTTGACCGGTAGTGTAGGCTGCTACTATGTAAAAACCGAAACTGAAGAAGGGACTGCCCATTGTAAAATATCGTGAAATGCAGATGATGACACATATAGGCCAAGTGTTCAATAATTAAAGGATGAATGAATGCCTATGCAGTGAATCACGCAATCCACGTGGGGTGTTGGAAAGTAACCTGCCTAGTTTGAATATCACCTGCATGGACTTCCTCTAGAGACGTCAGATTCTAGGATAGTTGTTTTGTTGTTCGAAGTTAGGAATATTACCTGTACGTCTAACAACAACTGAGTCGGCGCCCTGTGAAGAATGAGCTGTATTATTCACCCAGACATGTAACGTATACGATTATATTAATCGTTTCTCGCTTTATTATCGGAGTTTGTCGATACTATAGGCTACTTTAGTCATAGCACGAGTTCACGACCGTATTTGTTTTATTATTCCGGAAAAAGCCCTTCACACAGGTAAGAAGACGAGTTTCAGTCTCGGCCATCTCGATGGCTCGGCTCCTGTATATTCTATTCTCTCGTCAAATAGTGTTACACTTTTTAGGTGTATTTTCACACATTTTATACAGCCTACCATTAACATAAGTGTATGAAGATACAGTTTAGTCTAACACATTCCAACCAATTAAAGCCTAACATATCTCAGGTTGTGTTGTTGAAGGTGAGAAGTAATATGGTCAAGAAGTTTGTTTTTAGAGTGCGGAATTCTCAGCATTATTTTCCAGTGACGTGAGTAAACAAAGTAATATGCCATAAAATGTATAGGAGGAGTGACACTCAATGGATTTACCGCGCATGTGTGCAATGCATATTTGAATGAAGGGGGAAAGTTTGCTCGGTTGTTAACCTCGTCATCAGCTGTCAGTGTCAGTGGGGACATTGGATTATTTATGGTTTCTGACCAAGGAATAGACCAGCCCTCAATGATGGCCTCTTTTCTACAGTAACACCATAGTGCTAAAGCCTGTGTGTCGGGCATTAGAAGTGGGCACTTTCTGGTGAATGATGTAGAATTATAGAATATGATTAGGTTTTATTCTATAGTACAAAGCCATGTCATTGACAGTGATTATTGAAATTATACTGAGTATTGCAATGGCACATCATATGAATAGAGAGGTAACAGAAGATTTGCTCATACAACCAATATATGCTCAGTGGTCAGTTTACTAGGTACAGCCATCTAGTACCAGGTCGGACCCCCCTTTGCCTCCAGAACAGCCTGAATTCTTCGGGGCATGGAAACATTACTCAATTAGTGTCAAGGGACCTAATGTGTGCAAGGAAAACATTCCCCACACAATTACACCACCGCCACCAGCCTGTACTGTTGACACCAAGCAGGATGGGGCCATGGACTCATGCTGCTTATGCCAAATCCTGGCTCTGAAATCAGCATGATGCAACAGGAACCGGGATTCGTCGGACCAGGCAACGTTTTCCACTCCTCAATTGTCCAGTGTTGGTGATCACGTGCCCAATGGACCAGCTTCTTCTTGTTTTTAGCTGATAGGAGTGGAACCCGGTGTGGTCGTCTGCTGCAATACCCCATCTGTGACACGGACCAACGAGTTGTGCATTCCGAGATGCCGTTCTGCGCCGTTATTTGCCTGTTTGTGGCCTGCCTGTTACCTTGCACGATTCTTGCTATTCTCCTTCGACCTCCCATCAACGAGCTGTTTTCGCCCACAGACTTGCCGCTGACTGGACGGTTTTTGTTTGTCGCACCATTCTCGGTAAACCCTAGAGGCCAGGAGGCCGGACGTTTCTGAGATACTGGAACAGGCGCGCCTAGTCCCGACGATCATACCACGCTCAAAGTCACTTGGGTCACTCGTTTTGCCCATTCTAACGTTCAATCGAACAGTAACTGAATACCTTGATGCCTATCTGCCTGCTTTATATAGCAAGCCACAGCCACATGATTCACTGTCTGTAGGAGCGAACCATTTTCGTGTACCTAATAAACTGGCCACTGAGTGTATATTGCTTGGATGTGCATGTCAAGTTCAGACAGTCCTATTTGATCTTGAGGTGGTAGTGACTATTGGCTAATGACTGTTTTATTGTTAGTGGTGAGCTCTGCTCCATGGGAAACTGGTGTCATGTTCCCAAGAGCCTAAATCAAGAGGTTGTTTGTGTCAAATGACATAGGCTATAGGGGTACTTGGTTTGGAAGAGGTACGTTCCTTTAAATAATGGATCATAATTACTGCTTTTCTTCTTCGTTCTCTCTGTATTGAATAGCAGACCTAAGGAGCTTTATGTGACCAATGACTATGGAGGCCATATCTCTATTCATTGATGGATATTCCTGATCAGAAGTTGATGCCTTGTTTCTGGAGCCCATTGTGGTGTGTACTTTTCTGACAGTGGTCTGCTGCTGAACAGTGGGAGGATTACAGCCTGTGACTTTAGCCTGGATGGGTTTCTGTAGTGGAGACTGTGGCACCAATGGGTACCATGCTCAAGGCTTCAGGTTGGCTAGCAATCATACAACTGTCTGGTGTAGAAAGGGAGTGGGTAGATTATGAAGCAATGTGAACTTTAGGGGGCAAGTATACTGTTTTGGCGTTCCCTGTATTTTCACTTTCAGTCAATCATAACGGACAGTCAAATCAGTCAGGACACCCCCCTTTTAGCTGATCTAATACATCTCTCTTTTCTGTCTGCCTCATGGATTTACCTGCCTTCACTTTTAACGAGGGTGTGCGGAAAATGTGACTCACCTCTGCTGTTGTGGAGACACAATGGAAACATTGGTGAGGTGAGGTTATTGTCTGTCATAACCACAGTAAGTGAACAGCTGGCAGTCCTGTTTGACTTAAAAGCTCACCTGTCTATGAGTGACTGTTCCAATGCCACCTGCACATGGAAGGCTAATCTTTCATGTTGAGCCAAGACATTTTTCCTAGAAAGCTTTGAATGTCACATGATTACACATTGATGTTGAGGTATTTCCCCCGTTAAGGTCACCTTGTCATCTTTAGAACACGCCTTATACCAGAACTACACATGAAAAGTTCAGTACTTAACAATGCAACGTTGCCAACGTTACAATGTATAGCATTGCATACCACTGCTATCAAAGCATGTTTAGCCCGGGATAATGATTGACTGAAGACATCAATACCACTGGGAATTATTTTCAAAGCAGTTTCCTCCTAGTTATTTCCTCCAGGCATTAGAAACCATTGATTAAAATATATGATTCATGTCTTTGTTATATGATATGAAACATTGATTAATATAATTAAACATTAAAGGTCAATGGAACATTAAATGGGTTATACATGTGAACATGCCCTTTTAGGCGATAAGTAGTTGAACAGACTTAATAAAGCTATCCTCTGAAAGAAGAACCAAGGAAAGGCCTACGTAGAACCAGGGGACGTGTAAAGGCAGTAGAATTAATCAGGGGATGCTGTATGGTCGCTAGTCTCACATCCAAGGTCCCTGCCTGCCTGGCTCCTCAGCAGCCCACTGCCTTTAATAACTACCCATGCTGCATCCTCAATGAAACTCAAAGGACCCTTCCACTCCGCCACATTCTCTGTCCAGCTCTCTCCTATTAAACATTTATAGACTATGTGCTTTTATGCTATGACAAATATGCATACCAAAGATTAGGAGGAATTTTATTTAGGCTAATCTCTGTTTCGGCCAGGCAAGTCTAAACATGCATGTGCTGATAAGGAGGCATTCCATCTACTCCAGTCAAGTGTTTGTTTTGTTTTACACAGAATTCCAATTATGGGACACACTTGACTTCATCATCCATCTTCTGAAGTAATCTCAGATCAGATTGAATATTTGTAGAGCCATTGAGTCTGGTCATGTGAATTCCCAAAGAAGTGGGGCTCCGTGACCCTTATCCATTACAAGATCACTTGAGTAACGAGAAAGAAAGGCGGTGAGAGAGTGGGCTGTCCTGTTTGACCTCAGGTTGTGTGTGTGTGTGTGTGTGTACACTACTGCCTTGGTGTAATTGCTCAGCCTTGGGTTTGGCCTCAGTGTTTTGCCTGCGCTAGTGCAACATCAGCAGTCTGAGTCCCCCCCCACCCCCCCAGCCTAGTCACACCACTCCCCCTCAGTTTGCCACACAGCCGGTGCAGTGCTGGGCACACACACACACACACACACACACACACAGATCCTCTGACTGTGTGTCGGGGATGTAGAGCTCTGGTTTCAGTCAGTCTGCAGGCAGCTAGCACAGCTGTTGGCTCTGAGTTTCTTGTTTGCATGCGGTGGCTGCCGCCTGGCTGGGGCCCCTGGCAAAGCTGATATCAGCTTCTCAGGTAGGTGGAACAAAGCTAATGACAAACAAGATACAGAATCAGTCTGCTCTTTTGCCTTGCTGACCGCTCGACTGGGGTCAGAGAGTAGTGCAGGGACTGGTGAGTGAATGCAGGGAAGCTGGTCTGTGTACATCATTCTGTTGGCTGGGTTTTTATCATGTGACAAAGGGGAATGAGAAAAGGTGGCACGCAAACAGCTCAGTATTTGCATCAGTAATGTTGGTTAGATACTCCTCCTCAGTGTACTTTGTGAGATGTTCACGCCACACTCATGTATACTTGTTTGTTTGTGCTGCAGTTTGCTGGTTTTACGATACATTTGACAAGAGTTTTGATTGAAGCTTACAAATCAGCTCCTTTTCTTTGCACATGTGTAGAGTATGTTGCTAAAAGCGAAGAATGCATTTATAGTCAGCCTCTGCTAAAGACAGGGAATTAGTGGAGAGATTAGATGCCTCACAGAGAGATAGGAACCTCTGCTGAGGGGGTCATTAGTGATGGGGATTGCATTTCTGCCCAGTTCATTCAGTTCTCATTTTCTTCTAGTGCCATGTCTGTTCCTTCCCATTAGCACGGTTTTTACTTTTAGTCATTTTTGGCCCTTTCTCAGCTCATTTCATGGGGGTTTACCCATTTTAATGAAGCGCACAGTGACACGTAGCCGAAAGGAGAATTCCTTCAATCCCTCAGGAAACCGTCTGAGAGGAAACAGCTGCTGCGGCCTCCATATTGTTGCCGCTCTGTGGATTTGTCATTTCCTGTTGAGCCAGTCGATATGAGTAGGAAAAGTCCCAACTCTAACGGCAGACCTCTTTTGTGCTCCCCTCAACAGAAATCCAGGATGAAGACATGAGGAGGAGAGGACACGCGGTGGATCAGGGTTTCAACCTCACCTTAACTTTGGAATGTTTGCCCCCTTATGAAATAAACGAAGCATATCCTTTCAGGGAGAGGGGGGCACAGAGGAAGTAGGACAGTGGAACAAAGGAAGTTGGACTTGCTAGCTAGGTACTCCAGCCTGTGGCCATGACTGAGCCCATGGTCCCCAGTGGCAGCAGCAGTGCTGGCCTGACATGGGCAAAGATGTGCAAGGAGTGTGGCCAGCAGCACGAGGGGGGCCACGAGAACCACCTGTACGAGTACCAGGATGAGGTAGATGACGAGCTGGTGTGCCACATCTGTCTGCAGCCCCTGCTGCAGCCCATGGACACGCCGTGCGGACACACCTACTGCTTCCAGTGCCTCAGCAGCTTCCTGAAGGAGCAGGACTTCTGTCCCGTGGACCGCCAGCAGCTGCAGCTTCACCAGTGCCGGCCCTCCAGCCTGCTGGTCAGGAACCTGCTGGACAAGCTGACCGTGCTCTGCCCACACCAAGCTGAGTGCCAGCAGCAGATGCAGCGCTGCGAGCTGCAGCCCCACCTGCACAACAGGTAAAGAGGGTTATGGCCGGGGCACCGGGGTGATGGGCCGGGGAAGAGGGAGATGGAGATGGGAAAGTTTAGTTGAGCTTAAAATGTCTGCTTTGCAACAAGAGTAAGTAAGCCAAAATAGTACCTGTCTGTTTGCTGTAGTTTATATTTGGCTGGTCTATTTATTTTCCTATGCCTGAATTTAGCAATACATTTTGAGTTAATGGGTCAAATGTTAACCTAACATGGATTCACAGAACATAAGTCAATCAGGTTTAGAGTCTCCCATGAAATAGCTTTTATTACATAGTGCCTGGACTCAAAGGAGAGGTTCAGTCTCAAATGTCATATCCCCGAGATCTTTGTAATTTGTGGATTAGCCTTCCCTTTCCTCACGTGGCCAATGTGGTATGGTGCTTATCGTCTTAGTGGTTAGCTAGCAGCTATGACGCAGTCAGTAGTGGGTAAAGGTTATGTTGTGATAGCTGGTCATGCTGCTGCCATCCGTCCAGTGCAAACAGACAGGAGGCAGAGTTCAGACAGCAGGACCAGCAGCAGTAGCTCTCTCTCTGACTTAATCACACTCGACCTGTCCCCCCCTCAGTCTCCCTGCAATGCAGTAAAAAAGCCTCCTCATCTGCATAGCTCTTCTCCTCTTCTCATAGTCTCACTCTCTCTGACTCCCTCACCAGTCACTCAATCTATTCATTCCCATTTCCCACACCTCTAGCTTTTTAGAATTTTCCTCCTCCTCACTGAAACAAATGAATGAACATTGATCGAACTCCCTTTTTTGCTGGTCACACAGAATCTAAAGAAATGTAGGTGGTGTGTGCTCACTCACGATATTTTAGGTTACCTTCATGGACAGCTTTGGATGAATGTCATGAGGGTTAATTAAAAGGAGGATTGTTGATCTAACTCTCTCACTCTTTTCCTCTCTCTCCTTCTTTCTCCCTCTCCTCCCTCTTTCAGATGTCCTGTTTTCAGAAGGCTGAGGGAGGAGGCAGAGAGGAGGAAGAGACCCCCCTGGAATGAGCTTAAGGGGAACAGGGGTGAGGGGGAGTCGGGCGTTGATACCAAACACACCCGTACCCCCACCCGGGGCGTCCTGCCCGAGCCTGGCCTCATCAACCCTGCCTTCGAAGAGAGTGAGGACGGTAAGATGTCACACGTCACTCACGTCCTACTCCGCCCGCAACACAAACCAGATAGACGTCACACTAACGTCACTATGTCTGAAGTCTGATTATAGGTGGATGATAATGATAGTCTGTCAGTCTAAGTGAATAGCAGTGAGCTCCCATTGAAAAAAGACGATACTTTTTAAGAATGGGAAAGCACCCGGGGAAAGGACGGGACAGGAAACAGTCTGTCAGCTGTGTTAACTTTAGGGAAAACCCAAAGCCCCTTTGATGTGGCCATCCCTGGCAAGAGCGTTGCCAGACCTGGAGAAGAGGAGTGCTGATCATTTAGCTGGGGGCTTAGGATTTCAGACACTCAGGCCAAAACCTCGTCTGAACCTTCAGAACGTGTATCAACCAGATATGGAAACCATGTGTTTGACTCCGTTCCTTTCATTCTAGTCCAGCCATTACAATGAGCCTGTCCTCCTATAGCTCCTCCCACCAGCCTCCTCTGGTATCAACCTAACCTCTGTCTGGTCTAGACTTAGAACCCCTCCTGACATTTTGTAATCCAGTACTGTGGAACAAAGTCCATCAAAACAAAGTTACCTGGCAATACTGGTGATTGTTATCACAGAAATGATTAGCTCATCATGAGTGATTCTTGGGGAATAGGTTGCCACTCGCCCTACATGAATCAGAACCAGGGGTGTGTGTTGGCATTGCACACACAATAACAGGCAACCATGGACCATTGATATATGTTTGAGCATATATGAATCTCGGTGTGTGTGTGTGCGCGCGTCAGGTTGTTTGTCTCTGTTTATGTAAACATGTACCTCCAAAATCATCATGCCCTTGTCTGCCCCCTTCTCTCCCCCCACAGAGACCCCCCTGCGGTCCAGCCTGGTGGCCGAGGCCAATGTGGTGGAGATGTTTCGGGAAGAGCAGGAGTTGGGCCTGCGTATTGTGGGAGGAAAGGACACGCCCCTGGGGAACATAGTCATCCAGGAGATCATCCGTGACTCACTGGCGGCCCGTGACGGCAGGCTGGCCCCAGGGGACCACATTCTGGAGGTGAGACAGGTTCTTCACTGCAAATAATAGAGGGATAGGTCACCTGAAAAATATGTTCAGTCCTCTACCCTCCTTCCCATCCTCTTATGTAGCTTTAGTGCTGTAGCCGTATACTTTCAAATGACCACCTTGACGATGGTAATGGCTGCACTTTGTGAAGATTGTGCTTTATGAGAAGCTTTGACCTATGCAGTCAGGATATTCCACACAAACACCCTATTCCCTTTGGTTCCCATGATCCTCAGTAAATAGAGGCATTTGTTGGTGGGGAAGCAGATATTCGGGATGAACGGGTCTCTGGCTCCATGGTAACAGGCGTGGCAGAGCTCTGTTGTCCAAGCAGGCCCATGAAACACTGTTTCAGGCCGAGCCCCTTCAGGCCGAGCCCCATCTTCTGGAAGGCCAAAGTTCACATGATTGCAGACAGGCTCTGTCTAGTTTTCTTCAATGTTTTCTTTTTCTTGGACAGAAAGGGCTGATTATGACACGTAGTCTAGTGACCTTTTGGCTATGGTCCTGGTTGTAAATTAGCCAAAAGGCTAAGCAAGATGAAATGCTAGTGGTGAGGGTGTCTGGTGAAGTCTCAACACATGAGTCCACTCGCTTGATGGTCTGCGTGCTCCATGTTGCTCTGTCTGTCTGCGTGCTCCGTGTTGCTTGTCCTATGTTGCTCTGCATGTGCTATTTGTCTGTCTGTATTGTAATTGCTTTAAATAACTTGCCCAGGGACATTTACTGAAACTTTGATTTAATGTGCACTGTTCCTGTAAAAATCCAAAATAAACTCAAACCTGGTTTCCATCCAGAGGGTAGAACTAGGGTACAGAGATAGTATATCTTTGAAAGGGCTTTCACAAAGATACAGCTTCCTTTCTTCCCACAATCCTGCTCCCTCTCTCCTCCTTGGATTTCTCCTCCCCCAGCTGTATGGCAGGGGTGCCTGAGCCCATCTCTTCCTCTGGGCTGACCAATCACACATTTGGAATGAAAACACTCATCTCACCTCTACTGGCTGCCTTGGTAGCAGTAATACAGTGGGGAAAAAAAGTATTTAGTCAGCCACCAATTGTGCAAGTTCTCCCACTTAAAAAGATGAGAGAGGCCTGTAATTTTCATCATATGTACACGTCAACTATGACAGACAAATTGAGGGAAAAAAATCCAGAAAATCACATTGTAGGAAAATTGTAGACCTGCACCAGGCTGGGAAGACTGAATCTCCAATAGGTAAGCAGCTTGGTTTGAAGAAATCAACTGTGGGAGCAATTATTAGGAAATGGAAGACATACAAGACCACTGATAATCTCCCTCGATCTGGGGCTCCACGCAAGATCTCACCCCGTGGGGTCAAAATGATCACAAGAACGGTGAGCAAAAATCCCAGAACCACACGGGGGGACCTAGTGAATGACCTGCAGAGAGCTGGGACCAAAGTAACAAAGCCTACCATCAGTAACACACTACGCCGCCAGGGACTCAAATCCTGCAGTGCCAGACGTGTCCCCCTGCTTAAGCCAGTACATGTCCAGGCCCGTCTGAAGTTTGCTAGAGTGCATTTGGATGATCCAGAAGAGGATTGGGAGAATGTCATATGGTCAGATGAAACCAAAATATAACTTTTTGGTAAAAACTAAACTCGTCGTGTTTGGAGGACAAAGAATGCTGAGTTGCATCCAAAGAACACCATATCTACTGTGAAGCATGGGGGTGGAAACATCATGCTTTGGGGCTGTTTTTCTGCAAAGGGACCAGGACGACTGATCCGTGTAAAGGAAAGAATGAATGGGGCCATGTATCGTGAGATTTTGAGTGAAAACCTCCTTCCATCAGCAAGGGCATTGAAGATGAAACGTGGCTGGGTCTTTCAGCATGACAATGATCCCAAACACACTGCCCGGGCAACGAAGGAGTGGCTTCGTAAGAAGCATTTCAAGGTCCTGGAGTGGCCTAGCCAGTCTCCAGATCTCAACCCCATAGAAAATCTTTGGAGGGAGTTGAAAGTCCGTGTTGCCCAGCGACAGCCCCAAGACATCACTGCTCTAGAGGAGATCTGCATGGAGGAATGGGCCAAAATACCAGCAACAGTGTGTGAAAACCTTGTGAAGACTTACAGAAAACGTTTGACCTGTGTCATTGCCAACAAAGGGTATATAACAAAGTATTGAGAAACTTTTGTTATTGACCAAATACTTATTTTCCACCATAATTTGCAAATAAATTCATAAAAAATCCTACAATGTGATTCTCAGGATTTTTTTTTTCTCATTTTGTCTGTCATAGTTGACGTGTACCTATGATGAAAATTACAGGCCTCTCTCATCTTTTTAAGTGGGAGAACTTGCACAATTGGTGGCTGACTAAATACTTTTTTTCCCCACTGTATAACTGCTCACTTTTTGGGGTCCTTTGTGGACAGCTAGTGGCTGTAAAGAGATATGTGTGACAGAGCGGAGATTGAATTCCTAATTTGTTGAAATTGAATCCCTCGCTTCCCCCTGAGTCGATGTATTGATTTTAAGAAGGGCTTCTCTCAGATTAGGTTTGTAAAGCTGGAATTGGTCTAAAATGGGTCCAATTATTTACACCTACTCTACCAAAGGTCGATACAATGCCTCAATACAATGCATCAATACAATGCATCGACCAACATGAGTCGAGGTACCTGTGGTTTTTGGCTGTACATGTCAAAGATGGAGGCACAGCTCTTACTCTTTTCAAAGTTGTATGTCTACTTCTATTGATTTTCTTATTGTTAAAAACGGTGATTCCATGAGGCCAAACAATCAATACCAGTTTAAAAGGAACTAGAGTTACACCTCCATCCTATGATGTATTGTTCTACATAATTATATCTTGATCAGGAGAAAGTATTTTAATTTGGCTATCCATCAAGGCAGGGACCAGTCACTTCCCACAGCTGTCAATACTCTGTGTATATTTAGTCCACCTGCAGTGTTCCAGAGGGCTGCTGTATCATTGACAGTGTTGCTGACCGTGTGGTGTTGTGTTTCTAGGTGAATGACGTCAGCCTGGCGTCTATCCCACACGGCCGGGCCATCTCCGCGCTGCGGCGGCCATGCCCTCTGCTCAGACTCATCGTCATGCAGGAGAAGGGCTTCAACCCCCGTCACCCGCAACGCCCTGGCCTCGAGCACCACACGCCCCCCTCCACCATCACGGCCACCGCCTCCCCTCCCACTCACAGTCCCCACGGCACCGCTCACAGCCAGGGTACGGTGATCCAGGTGACGCTGGTGAAGAGGGACCGCTCGGAGCCGCTGGGCATCAAACTGATCCGCAAGTCGGACGAGACGGGGATCTTCATTCTGGACCTGCTGGCGGGGGGGCTGGCGGCCAAGGACGGGAAACTATGCAACAATGACAAGGTGCTGGCAATCAACGGGCAGGACCTGAGACACGGCACCCCAGAGAGCGCAGCACAGATCATACAGGTATGTCTTCTATAGTAGACAAGTTACAGCACGGCTATTCCATGCAGACCAAAGCACGAGACATTATGGAAATAGGATTCATTATAATCTCTTACGGAAACATTGACTTTCATGTTAGCAGAGGTTCCCAGGGTATATTTGCTGGCTGTGTAATGAATGTGAGGCCCGAAGTATGTGTGTGTATAATGTGTGTGTCTGCAGGCCAGTGAGGTGCGGGTGAACTTTGTGGTGATGAGGCAGCCGGAGCCCCAGGAGGAGGGGGGCAGCGGTGGAGCGGGGGAGGGCCGAGTGGCCAGGAGGGCTCCAGAACCCCAGAATTTCAGACGCCCCTCCACCTACACGAAGGTAAACAATCTCCTCCCCCGATGTTTAGAACTTACTACAAACTGCTGTATATCTCAGTTAGTGTATGTTAGTATGAAAAATGTATGCACTCACTAACTGTAAGTCGCTCTGGATAAGAGCGTCTGCTAAATGACTCAAATGTAATGTAATGTTAGTGTGTGCACACATGATCCTAAAAGCCTGTCATGTTTACATAATGTAATCATGGCACCACGATCGATCAGTCCCATCCCAGCCCTCTGTCACCAGTCCAGGCTACCTAGCACGTCCACAGAAGCCATCCTCACTCAGACAGAGGTGAAAGGGGCCTTGGGAGCAGACCGACACGTGTCCCTGGTCCAGAGATAAAAGCCCTTCTCTGGGGCCTGCTCACTCCTGATCAAAAGGCCCAGAGTGCTGCCTCCCTCTGCCGCTGCGGGGCCACTACCACGTTTTGTTTGTTTATAGCTTCGGGTGGCAGAGGATCAAAGCCGGTGATGGTTAGCTTTCACCTGCAGAGCCCAGGCTTTGAGTGTTGCTGGGGGTGAAGGGTTCCCTGCTGGGGGGAGGAAGAGGGAGGGCGCTCCTCCTCCCCTCCCCAGCCCCCTCTGAAGGTTTACAGACTCCAGAGCAAAACAATAAGGAGCTGTGGATTTCGACACGTGCACCAGAGAGCCGAGTGTCGATCCTCTGGGTTTGAGTCCGCAGCTGCATCTGAGATGTTGCTGCTTACATTGGTTTGGACAAGCGGTTTCACGAGGAATCAATTAGGTCAAAAGATCCTTCTCAGTTCTAGGAAATGGAGAGGGGAAGATGATGGGCAGCATAGCCGAGAAGGAATGCCGAGTTAGGCATATAGTGCTAGTTTTCTTTGATGGCAGTCTTTTCTATGATGACCAGAAATAATTCTTAAGAAGTCGTTTTGGTCTTAAGAACAGGAAGTAAATCTAAATAGCCTACTGCTCCTCATCAATGGAAAGCAAATGAAGTGTTCTTCCTGGTGTTTCCCAGGATCCTCCAGGGGGCTTCTCCAGCCAGGAGAAGACGGTGAGTCTGAAGAAGGATCCAAGACTCTCCCTGGGCATCACCATCGCTGGGGGGAGGGACTGCCGCAGTCGCCTGCCCGTCTACATCACCAGTGTCCAGCCTGTCGGCTGCCTACACCGAGACGGCACTATCAAAAAAGGTACACTTGGGATAAATGCTTTCATACAACCACCAAACCAGTGACCATTATCAGTCATGGTTTTGATAGGACATTACCGTTTTCATTCCATACGTTGACCCCATGTAGCATGGCTAATGTTCAGATTTAAATGCCTAAGGGGATAATTCTGTTAGTGAAGGGGTAGACAATGCATACCTCTTGCACATTTAACGGGAAGACCTTTTGAAGTAAGGCCAGCTTTGCATGCAGAGGCTAGGTTTTCTTGACATGGTTCTGGTTTCTGTTGCCCAGGGGATGTCCTGCTGAGCATCAACGGCGTGGATCTGACCCAGCTGACCTACAATGAGGCGGTGTCGGTGCTGAAGGCTCAGACGGCTCAGGCCCAAGTGGTCCTCAGGGTCATCCAGACCATCTCAGAGGAGCCAGAGGACGAGGGGGAGGCCACCAAGGATGCCATGGAATCTGTGGAGAACCCAAGGGAGGATGACGCCAACTGGGCCCCACAGTGGACCCGCTGGCTGGGCCTGCCCAGGTAAGCACACACACTAATCATTGGTTGGAAAATAACTCGCCTCAAGTTTGCATGACCTCAACTTTGCATTCCTTCAAATCCATCTGTGTCATGAGTACAGCTAGTCTGTTGCATCGGAAAAGTACCCTATCACTTGTTTCAGGCGGCCATTTAAAACATGGAGGTCTTACATTTGTGCTTATGAAATCACACAGACACTTTTGAGTGTAACTTCCTCTCCTCTTCCTTACAGTCACATGCACTGGTGCCGTGACATTGTGTTGCTGAAGACCAATCAGGAGAGCTGGGGCTTCAGCATTGTGGGCGGCTACGAGGAGAGCCATGGACAGCAGCCCTTCTTCATCAAGACCATCGTGCCTGGTACACCCACCCACCTCGACGGACGCCTCAAGTGAGTTGCTTCACACTGGCAGTGCTAGTTTATTATCATAAACCTCAGTGAGAAAACACATGTGGTTACTATCTGGGAGGTTGAAGAAGTGTAGGAGCAGTGAGAAGGGGGTTATGTTTTGGTAAGTCTGCCCTGTTCTTTGATAAGGCATGTACTCCCTTTTGTGCAAACTTGCCTCCCCAAGGACAGGATTTAACAGAAATACCTGGTGTTACCATTTAATTAAACTGAGAGCAGAGATGGAGCCAGCCTGGTATCCAGTGCTCATTAGATGTGATTCCCCTGTAGAAGGCCATCATATTTAGACCTTACTGCACAGCTGTTAGGAGAATGATTATGGTGGAGGGTAGGTCATTGTGTTACATGTATTGTGCCCATCTCTGTGCCCCATGTTTACGGACTGTCCCTCTGTGTTGTCTCCAGGTGTGGTGATGAGATTGTAGCTGTGAACGGAGCCACCACGGTGGGCATGAACAACTCATCCCTCATACCCATGCTCAAGCTGCAGAAGAATAAAGTCACACTGACTGTGGTGTCCTGGCCGGGGAGCCTGGTGTAGATACACACACACACACACACACACACTCTGCCTTACTCCTGTCTCCACTGACTGTGGTGTCCTGGCCGGGGAGCCTGGTGTAGATACACACACACACAAAGATACACACACACACACACACACACACAGACGCACACCCTGCCTTGCTCCTGTCTCCACTGAGCCTCTTGTCATCTCTGCACACAACACCCTAGAATCTCATTTGTGACATTCTTGGAAAGATGGTTACTTCTCCGATTTATTGTTAATTTCACTAGATAATCTCTTCTGATGTGGATTGTAATATAGATTGTCAATTTGCACATTGCTCTAGCTGACTAGTGTGACTGAATTTCACATTTGATTTGTTTCACTGCTTTGGTTATTGTTGTTGTTACTCAAAAGGGCCATTGATTGTCTGGCTGAACAAATTGGGTTTATCAGGGTGAAGGATGAATTGACAATCAATGAACTATTAAAAGTTGGAATCCTTAATGGTCGAAACAGCCACATCCATGTATATATGTCTGTGTGTATATGTATGTATACACACACACACACACTGGCCAGTTTATTAGGTACACCACCCCGTTCACAAATTGAGTCATGTAGCTGTGGTTTGCTATATAAAGCAGGCAGACAGGCATCGAGGCATTCAGTTACTGTTCGATTGGACGTTAGAATGGGCAAAACAAGTGACATTTGAGCGTGGTATGATCGTCGGTGCCAGGCACGCCGGATCCAGTATCTCAAAAACAGCCGCCCTCCTGGGCTTTTCACGCACGACAATGTCTAGGGTTTACCAAGAATGGTGTGACAAACAAAAAACATCCAATCAGCCGCAGTCCTGTGGGAGAAAACAGCTTGTTGATGAGAGGTCGAAGGAGAATGGCAAGAATCGTGCAAGCTAACAGGTGGGCCACAAACAGACAAAAATAACGTCGCAGTACAACAGTGGTGTGCAGAATGGCATCTCAGAACGCTCAGTTTACTTCAGTGGCCTGCACAGTCCCCAGACCTCAACACAATAGACCATCTTTGGGATTAGATGGAACGGCCTGTTCACAGCATGCATGTACCGCCGTCCAATCTGCAGCAACTGCATGATGCCATTGCGTCAGCATGGATCAACATCCCGGTGGAATGTTTCCGACACCTTGTAGAATGCCCCGAAGAATTCCGGCTGTTCTAGAGGCAAAGGGGGCTCTGACCCGGTACTAGACGGGTGTACCTAATAAACTGTCCAGGTGAGTGTATATCTGCGATATTACAACGAAGTTACTAAAAACAACAAACACTGTTTTTTTCCCCTCGTACATCATTGCACGCTCGATAGAATGGCATGTACTGCAATATTGTTTACCATGCTGCTCGACACTCCTTAGCTTGACAACAAAAACAATAACAGCGGTGGTGGGGTGGCCAGTGGCGCTGTTTTTCCCTACTGCGGATTCCATCTTTAAGGGTAAACTGGAAGGATCTTTACTGTTTTGGAATTCTTGTTTTTACCCTGTCTTGAACGCTTTAAACATTAGTTTTTAGCAGATTTTGCTTACCTGTTCAATGCCCATTTGTTTCCCCCCCCATATTTGTTAATGATGGGATATATTTGTAGATTTCAAATTTCATGTGAAAAGGGCCTATTTTAGGCTATGAAACATATCTCTATAATTCCACAGTTAAATAAGAAAATTGATTTAATATACCAAATTGATTAGGAAAGGGTGACAGTTGACTATGTAGAAAGATGCCAAAGTCACATGTACCCATCCTCTCCAACACCTTCAGCCTTTAGATTATAACAGATACTGTGTTGTTTTATCCATATATATACTAGGATGTTCTAGTGGCTTCTGGTTTTTATGAATGATTTATTTCCTAACTGTACTGTAATAATCTCTTACATTTTTGTGCAATGCCTCATACCGAATGTCTTTGATTAATGTGGGTGCCTTGTACATGTTGAAGGACAAATCAAAGTTCGAACACTTGCCTTAATTGCCACAACCTTATTTTTTTCTTAAAGCTCCCACCTCATTTTCTTACCAATGAGAAAGCGGAGGGACGATCTGTTCAATGTTATTTAGCACAATTTAGTTATAATGTTCACAGGAAGAGCCAGGAGGAGATCAGAGCTGCTGGCCTTAGTTGGAGTTTTAGATTTAATTCCACTATTCTTTTCAGGGTGTCATAAAACACTGTGAATGTGATGGAAGCCCTCTGTATAGTTTAATATTTAAGAGAAGTGTAGGCATTTTATCCTGTGTAATGGACCATCCCCAGTTTCATAATGTTCTAAAACCTCAAATAATATCTGTGTCTTTTGTATTTTATACATAATATTTACAAAGCACTTAAAGCATGGGATTGAGTGTGTTTTAAAGTCCAGCACTTTAAAAAAACAAGTATATTCCTCCATGTCTGTTCCTCCACAGGCTCTGGGGCCTAGTGCCTGTCATGCTATCCTCTCAATGGGCCTTGCTTTACTGTTGGCTGTACTGTGGCTGGGGGGGATATCAGTCATCTGGAGTGGCATGAGGGGGAGTGGGCCAGGCGTGTGGCCACAGGAGAGCTTTAGGAAGAATGGAAATGAGGACGGTGGAGTCACAGAGCAAGCAGCAGAGGACTCCATGACAGCTTTAAATCATCCCTGGATTTCCAGCAAGGGTCAGGGCCTCAATTTCAGCTCAGTCAAAAATATAAGGGATGAAATGGTTGGTTAGAAACGGTTATATTAATATCTATATTGAAAAATAAATTGCTTATACTTGTCTCTTGTTTCGTATCATTACTGCAACCCAGTGGCGGCTCCTGAAAAAATTCTCAGGGGGGGCAATTTTTCTGATGATTTAGGTGACCTACACACATTTTAAAAAATATATGTCCAGCAACAACATGAAGACAGGGGCAGCATATAAGTCAATACCAGAAGCATTTATTGACTGATCTCAAAAGTGTTGGCTTACCAGGGTTGGTGGAGCCCTCAGTTTCATCTTTGCCTCGCAAAGCTAACTCAAACACTCCGCAAAACTTCACACACTGGATTAGCCGGCTGAGGATGTGGCGGTTCTTGCTAATGTCGTAGTAAATATATTTGTTATAGTGAATATGGAATATGATATGTTGAGTAAAATGTTGTGCTAAGATCTATTTAGGTCAGGAGCTGGTTATAAGTTCTGTTCCTATCCAATAACAATGGACAAAAGGGTCCTATCTTGTCAGCCTTGTCAGTTTCAGTTCTCCAGTAAACTTGTGATTATCAACACTAACCTCATCGTTGTGGCGGCGGACAGCTAGCCTGTATCCCTCATCCAGTTGAGTGGGAATGTTCACTCTCCCCAAAGCAGACAATCTCAAACAGCTATCCATGTGGGTCTTTGACAGCTCATGTTTCTTAATCTTTCCTGAAAGATGGTGCATGTCCGTTACACACCAGTCGCTGTCCAAGCGGTGCTGTCTGCCGTGCCGCCTTCAGGGTGAAAGAGTAAGCAGGGGGTAGCAGAAGACTGCATTAGCTACATCGCAGCCTGCTAGCCAGGTTTTTCGTTCGTACCAATTTTTGGAAAATCCTCGGGTGTAGGACTTCCCCCCTTTAGTAGAAACCTGTTGAATTATTAAATTTGGTCTGGGAGGTCCTAATTGTTTCGTTGCCAATTTATCTTCATTTGTTCGCCGACAAAAAGGAACTTCTTTCAAAGACACAATCGAGTTGCACTGAAGCCTAGCCATTTTCACAGTAGTAGTGAATTGATTGATGAGGCTACCCGCTCTTTTCTTAGTTACGTTCATGATTATGTTACGTATGACGAAAGCGCGTAAGTGCAAGCCCTCAGAAACCCATAGAGATTGTATTGAAAGCTCTGATATTTGAAAAAAATAGATTTTACAAGGGAGTCTATGACAGACTTTTGGGCGATTTTCAACCTGACTGAAATCGCCCCAAAAGGGGGGGGGGGGGGGGGGGGCATTTGAAGCACGACTTTAGCCTGATTGGACATTTAGTGGCACTGTGGCAGATCAGACGTCTAGATTACAACACTGATAACTACTGTTGCCGTGATATAATTGATTAGAAAAAAAATCCCTTCCTTTTCCCGTTTGGCAGTGCGTCGCCCATATCGCCCTATTGAACACACCGCCCCTGCTGCAACCTAATGAAAACATAATCAGGAGTTATGGGTGGTTGCTGGCACCTGCAGAGGATGTTGAGAAACAGCTGTTGTGCAAGCATACGGAGACACTGACAGAAACAGTTATTCCCTTAGCTTTCGATCATTGAATACCTAAAATGCAAGCGTTTCAGTTGAAATGAGACCAACATTCTTGGTTAGATGATGCTGCAGGACCATAGCAAAATCAATCCCTCTCTTTCCCCACAAGTAATGTGATGCATTTGTTACATAATAATGTGATTGCAAGTACAATCAATTAACTTCAACACTCAATATGTGATAGCATTTAAATCATGTTTGTGGGTGAATATTGGCCCACACTTCTTCGTCTCATACTGGTATCAGGAAAATTGGAAATGTATAAGGGTTTTATTCAAAAAGACAATTTAGCCGAGATGTGACAGAGATTAAACCAAGAGTTGAATTACATGAATCCAAAATGGTTAGACCAGCTGTACACTACATCACACTCATAGCTCCTCTCCCATCGTGGTGTGTCAGTCTGCCCTCTGGAGGACAGGGAAGGAGAGACCCATTCACCCATCTCCACCTCTTCATGGTCAAACTCCCCTCAATTGATTGTGTATGATCTTTGACATCAATATTATGCTTTTGCAAAGGATGCTACAAGTTACATAACCCAAAGTGGTACTCCGTTAGATTGGAGGGGTGCTTAATACAGTAGGGGTAGAGTAAAGTAAGCCAACTTCCCTTGATCCTGTAGACCAGGGGTATTAAACTCTTACCCTATGAGGTCCGGCGCCTGCTTGTTTTCTGTTCTACCTGATAATGAATTGCACTCACCTGGTGTCCCAGGTCTAAATCAGTCCCTGATTAGAGAGCAACAATGAAAAGATGAAGTGGGACTGGCTTTGAGGTCCAGAGTTGAGTGCTCTAGACCTTATTCCCTCATCCCAACTTCCAACAGGACAATGTGAACAATAAAGCCAAGAACAAAGGGGGTCTATAAAACAAACCTCTACTCATTACAACGAAGCCCACCACTCCAGTGTATGTATGGGGGTTGTGATATAGTAACCTATTAGATTTTGGCCACAAACTCGGGGCCACAGTTCCATGCCCTAAATGTGCTAGCTATTTATGGTAATAGTATTCCAAATGTGTCAAGTAATTACAGGCCATCTTAAGTTAACGATTCAGCACCTTGTTAAACATGACAAACAGCCAGGTTTCAGTAGCAGGCTGTGGGTAAAGTACATTACCACAGATGAAATAAGATGATCTGTATAACAAATGATACTGAATTATTTACCATATGGCAGTAAGGTAAGCATGTCAACAGTTAGCATGTGGTTTTCAGTTGGACAAACATCAAGACTCTGGGAGAAAATTCAAAATCAACAATTTATTTTAGCTTTCCATAGGGATTGAGTTGTCATGACAAACATTTACAAGTACTCTGTAACAGGGCCAATACTCCACAATACAAGTGAGCATATGTCAACCAGTACACCAGTTCTCTGACTGTGGTTCATAGAACATTCCAGTGGCACTATAACGCAGCAAAACTCTCAGCTACAAGTGAAGGACACAACACTAAGGCCTCTCTTCAATCTGTAAAGCTGAAGGGTTACATATTCCGCGATAGAAATTCAAAGGTCATTTCAGATTGAGCTGGCATATGCAGTGTTTACTGTGAATGCTGTCTCCACTAAAGTGGGAACATTGCCTTTAAATTTCAATCACGCTGTAAAGCTGAACTTCAGCGATGCGGATTGAATAGAGCCCTAACTCTGAACAAAATGAATAACTAAGGAAACATTTATTTCAATATGTAATGTTCTCTAGGCTGTATGTGTTTTTTAACAACAAGGACAAAACACATTATAGGAAAATACAAAACGATAAAATGAACAAAGCTGCAATAAAAAGATTGACAAAAAATTTGACATGGTAGTACCAAGTTGGAGTCTTTGTTTCCAACAGTACATCATAAAGATAAGTAGCCATCTCACGCTAAACTGGATGACACTTTTACCTTTTTCTCCTTAGTTGGCAAAACCACACAAATAACATGCATCACTAGTGTCATTGTAAAATTACTCCTAACCTCAGTTTGACCATCCTCTGAAATCCTGACAAGTTTAAGTGCAATTTTCTGTCCTAACTCTGGCATCACATACATTGTAAATGATATGGCTTACTAGGTAAACAGGTCCATATAAACTGGTAAGAGACATCTTTCATAAACAAAACTATGGTACAGCATTATCTTGGCAAAAACAAATCAAAGATCTAAATAACAACGTAAACAACAGCATACCACTGTACAGTTTCTCCTAACATATTTACAGGTTGGTTTTGTAACTTCTCCTGTACAGAGGGTCATTTCCAAAGTAAAGAAACACATGATGCTGTTAAATAGTACGTTAGGCAAATCAAGCATCCCATCTACTTTTTGTTAAAAAGAAGAATTGATTTGAGGAAAGTAACCCCAATAACCAGAATTTGAACTTGGTGGGCTACAAAATGCTCGTCTCCTCCGGTCTTATATATAAAATGGTTTATTGTTTTACATAAGGCAATGATGCTCTAGGTGGTGTCCAATTCTTTCCAAAGCAATACTGATATGATACATAGGCTCGATTGATGTTGGCTCTTTGGGATAAATGCACTTTTCAACAATATATTTTTGTGCAATCACTAGTTGTATTACACAACAAAAGGGGGCATTTTTATACTTCGAAAGGAACTGTGCAAAATCTGCTCTAAAGCAAAGTGACAGTGTTGCAATTTCTATTGTACAGGGTACTGGGAGTTGTAAGGGACATCTCTAGACACCGGTGCAGACCCTCATTCCAACATATATACAAGGCACTACGGATTGGAGTCAAGGGCCCACACTGCAGGTCTCCCAACAGCCTCCTCAGCTCAGTCCGGTCGGAATATAGGATATTTGGGTAAGAATTCTATAAGAATTACCTGTGGAGGGAAAAGTTAATTCATTTCATTTTACACTTTTCTTTCAGAAATGAATCTTTCCATTTCCATTTAAGTCATTTAGCAGACGCTCTTTTTCCAGTAGGCACTGCTCTATTGTACATTGCATAAATGACCATATATTTTGCGTCTGTTGCGATTTGCGATTTGTAATACTCCATAATATGTTGGCAAGAATCATATTCTGCTTTAGGGGAGCATGAATGCATCATACTTACATATTCCATCATATTGCTGCTTTCACATTTCCTTTTGCTGAGTTTCCAGTGCAGGCCCAGCTAAATAGAAGAGGTGAAAGTAAGGACAGACTTAACACCGCACAGACACCCACATCCCGTCTGGTTAACAAATCTGTCTGAGATATCCCCTAGTGTGAGGGGAATTTAGGAAAGGCTTTAAAACTACAGTGTGGTCCATAATTATTGGCAACCTTGATAAAGGTTTATAAAACATAATACAAATACTGAGTGATATTGTATGGTCCAAAAATTGGAAGATTATATTATTTTATACTTATACGATTGCTCAATGAAATAGATTTGTTTAACACGTAATACAAAAACATCTAAAAAAAGATAGGGGTCAGAATATAGGCCGCGGTTTTCAATTCTCCTGCACCCTTCCCTTGCGAGGATAACGGCACTGTGCCTTTTTCTAAAATGTTATATGAGATTGGAGAACACATTGGGACGGATCTTAGACCATTCCTCCATACAGAATCTTTCCAGATCCTTCATATCCTTCGTCTGCGCTTATGGACTGCCCTCTTCAATTCAACCCTCAGCTCGGAAACAAAAACAATAACAGCGGGGTGGGGCAGTCAGTGGCACTGTTTCCACCTACTGCGCATTCCATCTTTAAGCTATGTTAAAGTAGCAGGGTTCAAGTCCGGAGACTGATGGCCATTGCAAAATGTTGATTTTGTGGTCAATTAACCATTTCCAATCATTTTGATGCACCACCACCACATTTTACAGTATGTATGAGGTTCTTTTTTGCATATGCTTCCGTTTTTCAACGCCAAACCCACCACTGTATTTTCATGTCATCTGACCATAGCACCTGGGGGTTTGATAAACGGCATTGGCACTTGGATTAGAACCGGTGCTATGGTCAGATGACAAAAAAAAAAAGAGCTCTTTGGCCATGCACACCAGTGGTGGGTTTGGTGTTGAAAAACAGAAGCATATGAAGAAAATGACCTCATACCGACTGTAAGAAATGGTTGTGGATCGTTGATGTTATGGGGTTGTTTTGCTTCCACTGGTCCTGGGGCCCTTGTTAAGGTCAACGGCATCATGAACTTTACCCAGTGCCAGGACATTTTAGCCAGAAACCTGGTTGCCTCTGCCAGGAGGCTGAAACTTGGCCACAAGTCGATCTTCCAGCAAAACAGTAACCCCAAGCACTAATCAGAATTCACAAAGAAATGGTTAATTGACCACAAAAATCAACATTTTGCAATGGCCATCTCAGTCTCCGGACTTTAACCCTGCTACTTTAACATCGCTTAAAGACGGAATGCGCAGTAGGGGGAAACAGTGCCACTGACCGCCCCACCCCGCTGTTATTGTTTTTGTTTCCGAGCTGAGGGAGCGTCCTCCAGCATGGCCAAAAATATTGCAGTACATATTGTGCTCTTCTATCGCGCGTGTGATGTCAGAGAAGGAAAAAACAGTGTTCGTTGTTTGCAGTAACGTCTTTGTTGTAATATCGCAAATGGACATCGCTGTTTCACCATTAACGATTGCATCTTTAACCCTTCACAAATGACATAACTGTTATGGTCTTTCAGACAAGTGCTAATATGCAATTTGTTCTTACCTTGTGATATAGTCGGTTGTTTTCCCATTCCAACAACTTCTGAATAGATCTGTTTGCCTGTTGGTAAAGGAGCACATATGCACATGCAAGATTGAAATATTTTCTAGTAATTACCTTGACTTCACACTCTTTTACAAATGATAATAACAGCAACCACAGTATTATGAGACAAAGATACATGTTTATGGACTGAACTCGTACTTTTACCAGCTTGTAATTTCCACTTTAGAATAACACTGGGTCGAGGCACCACCTTTCAGTGACGTACCCTTCAGCTGGACTGGCCTTCAGTGGTGCAATGTACAATTTTTACACACAGGTTATTATTGCCCTATTGCCCCCTTAAGACCAATACGGCTGGATTTGTAAACTAGCCCATGAGTAATGAGTGGGCCTGCGGACTTAGGTAGTGGGACTGTGCAGCACACATCACACGAGAGCTGATTGAGACTTACTCTCTTGTTGAGGCATATAACGGGCCACAGACTGAAGCCCACCGTACAGCAACAGCACAGGCAGCCGCAAAGAAGCCACTTCACATTGACAGGCAAGTTCTTCTTCAAACAAGCGTTCACTCTGCTGATGCTGGTTTTAAACTCCTCTGGAGCCACCTGGAGAAGGGGGAGAAGGGAGGAAGACATGGATAGGAAGAGTCAGACAGAGGAAATGTGGTTGAAATTTTGTAATTGGTCATTCTCTCCGAGACAAATCAGCTCATAATTGTTTTCAATCATTTGAGCTTAAAATAGTTTTTCATCTGAAGCAATAGTGCTGAGCAATTAACCAAAATGTCAGTTATTAAATGACTAATTGACTGATATCGGTTAAATTATTGGAATTCTATTTCATTCAGGGTTTTTCTGTGAGCTCGATGCGCAGTTTCTCTAGAGCTAAATCAGATCAAGCCCGAACTGTGCGATGTAGTAGGGAGTTTCCAACAGGCCAATATTCTTCATAGTTTAGCGCAGAAAAGTATAGAGAGATCCTTGATGAAAACCTTCTCCAGAGCGCTCAGGACCTCAAACTGGGGGCGAAGGTTTACCTTCTAACAGGACAACAACTCAAAGCACACAGCCAAGACAACGCAGGAGTGGCTTCGGGACAAGTCTCTGAATGTCCTTGAGTGGCCCAGCCAGAGCCCAGACTTGAACCCAAACGAACATCTCTGGAGAGACCTGAGAATAGCTGTGCAGCGACGCTCCCCATCCAACCTGACATAGCTTGAGAGGATCTGCAGAGAGGAATGGAAGAAACTCCTCAAATACAGGTGTGCCAAGCTTGTAACGTCATACCCAAAGGTGCCAAAGGGGCTTCAACAAAGTACTGAGTAAAGTGTCTGAATACTTCTGTAAATGTGATATTTAAGTTTTGATATTTTTTATAAATTTGCAGAAATGTCTAAAAACCTGTTTTTGCTTTGTCATTATGGGGTATTGTGTGTAGATTGATGAGGGGAAAAAACAATTGAATCCATTTTAGAATAAGGCTATGTCACAAAATGTGGAAAAAGTCAAGGGATCTGAATACTTTCCGAATCATGCTGAAACAGAATGGCACGACAATGGGCCTCAGGATCTCATCACAGTCTCTCTGTGCATTCCAATTGCCATCGATAAAATGCAATAGTGGTTGTTGTCCATAGCTTATGCCTGCCCATACCATAACCCCTCCGCCATCATGGGGCACTCTGTTCACAACGTTGACATCAGCAAACCGCTCACCAACATGCCATCTGCCCGGTACAGTTGAAACCGGGATTCATCGGTGAAGAGCACACTTCTCCAGCGTGCTAGTGGCCATCGAAGGTGAGCAACTGCAGTCAGGTCACGACCCCGGTGAGGACGACGAGCACGCAGATGAGCTTAATTGAGACGGTTTCTGACAGTTTGTGCAGAAATTATTCGGTTATGCAAACCCAAAGTTTCATCAGCTGTCCGGGTGGCTGGTTTCAGACAATCCCACAGGTGAAGAAGCCGGATGTGGAGGTCCTGGGCTGGCGTGGTTACACGTGGTCTGCGGTTGTGAGGCCGGTTGGACAGACTGCCAAATTCTCTAAAACGACGTTAGTAGAGAAATGGTAGAGAAATTAACATTAAATTCTCTGGCAACAGCTCTGGTGGACATTCCTGCAGTCAGCATGCCAATTGCACGCTCCCTCAAAACTTGTGGCATTGTGTTGTGTGACATACCTGCACATTTTAGAGTGGCCTTTTATTGTCTCCAGCACAAGGTGCACCTGTGTAATGATCAGTGCACCTGTGTAATGATCATGCTGTTTAATCAGCTTCTTGATATGCCACACCTGTCAGGTGGATGGATTATCTTGGCAAAGGAGAAATGCTCACTAACAGGGATGTAAACAAATTTGTGCACAACATTTTTGAGAAATAAGCTTTTTGTGCGTTTGAAACATTTCTGGGATCTTTTATTTCAGCTCATGGGACTAACACTTTTTTGTTCAGTATACTTTGAAGAACTACAAAAATGTTGATATTGTCAGACAGCATAGGCAGCAGCTCTTTAGAGATGAGATGATGACTTGGAATGAAATAATAAAGTAATCAAATAAATAAAATATTTTATTAAAGTAAAGTAATGTGAATAAATGCTGGTTAATAAGTGATAAGCAGTAATGGGCAGTCACTACCATCATGGGACTTTATAATTGTTTTATTCTGTGTTGTTGCAGCATTCAACCCACATAATGCATAGTGCATTTCATGTTTAAAACCAAAATCGTAAACCGTGATTATTTTGTTTGAATCGAAACGACCTCAAAAAGCACTAATTGCTCAGCAATATGAACCAAAAACAGACTTCTGAAAGGGAAAGTAGGAGAAAGGCAACCATTTCCTGCAAAATTCCACAAATTTTTTTAAAAGGAAAAACCTGTACTGTAGTCTACAGGATCAAACAGCCTTAGAAAACAAACAGGTGGCCTAGATATTTGGAGATGCTATCCAGAGATCGGATCTCTCACTAGTACGACTGCAACTTGCTAACCAATCTCTTGTCTATTCACGGCAGAGAGGGACTAAAGGGAGAGATAAGCTCAGTGCCTGTGGCAGCGGCCATACAAACAACATGAATGGATGCTAATTCCTCTCTGGGTCTGTACACCATAAAACTGGGGTCGTAATCTTTTATGACAGGATGCAAAGGTCTCTTTGCAAACAGAATAGGAATAAGGGCCTGCTGATCTGCACCCTTCAATCATCATAATTGTGACCTCTTCCATCATGTCACCATGGGCCACAATACTGGAGAGACTTTTTATTGCCCTGCACTTCCCTCGGCCTGCTCTTATCCCTTCAGCCTTTTTGTGTTGCAGTGTCTGACCCAGGAAGCTGCCCTTTCTTGTGCATGGCACAGTCTTTATTTCATTATTTTATCACCTGGAGCTGTGTCCTCCGAAACACTGGACCCCTGACCAACTGGGCTCCAAAGACGGCTTACTCATTGACAGACCTTCACTTCAGCTTTGGATGCACCGTGGTGTGTTGCTCCATCAGATCAAAAGCACTTAAGAAACTTGACAGAGGTAATTCAGGGATGGTCTGATTTGTCAAAGGGCAAATAGAACAATGGAGCCACCATAATAGCTTAAATTGCTTAATTCGCATCCCAATCCAAATCATTTGGCAAGCACAAAACATTGCTTTGGAGAAGTGCATGAGACGATACTAATGAATTGGGCTACTGTACCTTTCCCGTGAGAACTGAGGGAAACTCTGTGTCAAATTTGTTGCTTAAGCCAAACCTGTCAAAAAGAAACATACAAATGGTAAAGAGATGAAACAAACTTTCCATTGGACATTTATAAAAGTACTGTACTGTGACTGTTGGCTGTCACAAGGGAAACCTGGCAAGGTTTTTAATGGGGACGGAATAACAAACGCTTTGAACTCTCTACAAATAAATATAAATACCTATACAAATGTAGACCTAGTACCTAACACTTTACAATGTCTAGACAGCAAAACAAACAAAAAATGAATTTCCTGAATAAGCTGTAATTTGTTTCATTATGTGAATAGCTTCCCCTGTTGAGACAATTCAATAGGATGACAAGGACACATCATATGCATAATGCCGTTGTAGACACTAGAGGAAGTATACTTGACTATTATTGCGTTATCATTTGGCAAAGTAATAATGTTTTGTTGTGTCCATAGCTGTTAAAGCTAGAATCCGCAGTTAAAACAATAACAAAGCAGGTACACCACCTCTATTTTGGTAAAAAGCTGAGGGATGGGCCTGGGGAAATGTAAGCACTCTCAAATGCATAGACAGAGCTATGGATGCAAGGACTGACCATCCATGATATCAAAATTACAGTTTTAACCATGTTTGCGGCTATACAGTGTTTGTTTACATTTAGCTACATTGTTTACAAACAAAGCTTATTTTGCGTTCTGATGGCGTACAACAGTTGAACTAAACTCATGAGGCATTTATAAGTTAAATTCTTCAATAATTAATGGGTAACGCTATATCATACATTTATAGCCAAGTTCAAAATTGATTCTAGCTTTAAGCAGGGAGTATCTTAACACAGAATGATACATCTATGGATGGTAGCTAGCAAGCTTGCTGGAAATACTATTGGTTCATCACCACCATTTGAATAAGCCAGCCCTGTCAAAATATTCACTAGTTACAGTAGTTGTCATGTTGGCTTGTCATTTTTGTTACAGCAGATGCCTTGTCAGGCTAGTTTGCTGACAACCAGTGTAGCTAGCTAAAGCGTTAGCTAGCTAGTTCGCACAACTATAGTTATGCGAACTAGCTAGTAAACTATAAAGCAGGAATAGCAGGTACGCAATAGATCACCATAGCCTCATCAATAAAGACAAAGGTAACAGTTTTGTCCTACTATAAGACCACACAGTTGACTGTTATTGCCACGGCCTAGTAGTAAATTGTATTTCATAGCAGGCATTTTTGTTGGCAGGCTAGCTAGCGAGCTGATGAGGCAGGACAACATAACGAATCATGATGACTGCGCTTTGAATTGCTTACACGGTGATGTGCCCGGCCCCTCGCATAATCACAGGTTCTGGGCAATATCTAACAAGGTGTTCTTCACTCACTACACGTTCATCTTCCTCGTCTAACTCATAGATGGTATCAAAATCCGCCATGTTGGGTGGTAAAACGCTCATGACGTCTTCGTCGCTGCCAGCATGACGTCAACAACCAGTAATGTCGCGTTCAAAAATACTGGGAACTCGGAACTGGAAACACTGAAATCTCCGACATCCGACTTCAGTGTGTTCAAAACAACTGGGAACTTGGGAAAAAAACGAGTTCCGACTGGGGAAAATCTTATGAACCGTCATCCAACTCGGAATTCCAACTCGGGAACTCGGGCCTCTTTCTAGAGCTTCGACTTTCCGACCTGAAGATCACAGAAGTCATGATTTGACCGAACTCAGCCTCGGCGCCCATTCTCATAAACCCTGTGTTGGAGTGCCACAGTGTGTATGGAAAAGTGATGGATATAATTTAATATCACCTAAGCTTATCATTTTGAAAGAATAGAATAAAATAGGCTTCCCTAATTAATAATACAGATATCAATAGCAGGCTACACATCAGGGGCGTCATGCACCCAAAAATCTGGGGGTACAAAGTATGTAAGCCCCCAGTCCGGAAGTTGGAGAATTTAGCATTTTCCAAAACCCTGAAACATATTTTTCCTGCACTCTAGAGACATAATCATTATGCTGAATTCTATGTTCAAAATATGTTAATTTTTCTGCATATCTAAGCATACTTCTTCAGCTATCTGCATCCTCCTGAGTGTTGATTATTTTTTGAAAGGTCCAAAGCAGCCATATTTATCTCAATATCAAATCATTTCTGGGTAACAATTAAGTACCTTACTGTGATTGTTTTCAATTAAAATGGTCAAAAAGAAACAAAAATAGCTTCTTAGCAAAGAGCAATTTCTCTCAAGCTAAATTTTTGCTAGGACTGTCTGGGAGTGGTCTGAGTGGGGAGGGTTAAACTAAAAACTAGCTGTTATTGGCAGAGATGGTTGGAACTCTCTTTCTTATTGGTCTGGTTAACTCATTTACGCCTGGTGATGTCACCAGGCAGGCCAAAACTCCAACCCACCAAAACAGGCTGAAATTTCAGGTGATCTTTTCAAAGAGCTCTTACACTAAAATTATAATAATTTTCTCAATTTCACACTATTATTCCAACCTCACAGTGTGGAAATATACACTGAACAAAAAGATAAACACAACATGTAAAGTGTTGGTCCCATGTTTCATGAGCTGAAATAAAAAATCCCAGAAACATTCCATACGCACAAAAAGCATATTTATCTCAGATTTGGTGCACAATTTTCTTTACATCCCTGTTAGTGAGCATTTCTCCTTTGCCAAGGTAATCCATCCACCTGACAGGTGTGGCATATCAATAAGTTGATTAAACAGCATGATCATTACACATGTGCACCTTGTGCTGGGGACAATAAAAGGCCATTCTAAAATATGGATTTTTGTCACACAACCCAATGCCACAGATGTCTCAAGTTTTGAGGGAGTGTGCAATTGGCATGCTGACTCCAGGAATGTCCACCAGAGATGTTGCCAGAAAATGGAATGTTCATTTCTCGACCATAAGCCGCCTCCAACGTAATTTTAGAGAATTTGTCAGGAGAGCGGTTTGCTGATGTCAATGTTGTGAACAGAGTGCCCCATGGTGGCGGTGGGGTTATGGTATGGGCAGGCATAAGCTACAGACAATGAACACAATTGAATTTTATCGATGGCAATTGGAATACACCGAGATATCGTGACGCGATCCTGGCCCATTGTCGTGCCATTCATCCGCCACCATCACCTCATGTTTCAGCATGATAACGCACAGCCCCATGTCGCAAGGATCTGTACACAATTCCTGGAAGCTGAAAATGTCAGAGTTCTTCCATGGCCTGCATACTCACCAGATATGTCACCCATTGAGCATGTTTGGGATGCTCTGGATCGACATGTACGACAGCATGTTCCAGTTCCTGCCAATATCCAGAAACTTCGCACAGCCATTGAAGAGGACTGGGACATCATTCCTCAGCCTGATCAACTCTATGCGAAGGAGATGTGTCGTGCTGCATGAGGCAAATGGTGGTCACACCAGATACTGACTGGTTTTCTGATCCTTGCCTCTACGTTTTTTTAACGGTATCTGTGACCAACATATTTATATCTGTATTCCCAATCATGTGAAATCCATAGATTAAGGCCTAATGTTTTTTTTTCAATTGACTGATTTCCTTATATGAACAGTAACTCAGTAAAATCCTTGAAATTGTTGCATGTTGCATTTATATTTTTGTTCAGTATATATAAAACACAAGGAAATCATGTTTTTGACTGCACTGGGCCTTTAAAGAAACGAAATATGCTTCTCTGCATCATTTCTAAAATCTGCATAAAAGATTGAAAGGAATGTAAGTTTTATTCAGTACATTTAGTAATTGCTTGCTTTCTGAAGTCTACCAACCTTGCCAGCAGGCATGCCAGCTAAGATAGTTAGACAAGCTAGCTACTTGATTGATGGCTTGAAATTGCTTTTTGCAGGCTCTGCTCCAGGATGTCATTCCTGAGAGGGCATTTTAAATCCATGGGGGGACACAACTAGTATTGCTTTAGAGCCCTATTAAAACAAGGTAGATTGGTCCTCCAACTACTGTTCAAGTGTACAAAAATGTATCTGAAATGTAGCCTTACACATCAACAACTGTCGTTTTATAGGGGGTGCATTCGTAAATTAATTCTGGCTGTCTACTCCGATTTCAGCGCACTCTCGTCTGAGTGTGCCAGAGCGCAGAATAACTGATGCATTTACAAGGCTCAATACCCATTGAATATTGCCGGTGTTGTTAGCAAAAAAAGCGTAATTAAATTGCTGCCAGCAGCACAGTTACAGTCACCAACGCTCTGGATAACATGAAAGCCAAACCAGCTCTGCTAGGGGGAGTAAAATGGTCAGAGTGAGTGAGGTGTTCTCTCATTTGTGTCTGGAAGTAGCTAGCAAGTTAGCCAACGTTGCTTGACTGCCGTTGTGAGGTCAGAACGCTCGGATCAACCCTACTCCTCCGCCAGAGCGTCCAGTGTGCGCTCTTAACACCCCGAGAGCAAAATGCTCTGAATTTACGAATGGACAATCTGACAACGCTCTGAATTTACAAATGCCCAGAGCACACTATGAGCGCCCTCTGACACTCCAGATTGAATTTACGAAAGCACCCAGAATAACACAAGAAAGATACAGTGGGGGAAAAAAGTATTTAGTCAGCCACCAATTGTGCAAGTTCTCCCACTTAAAAAGATGAGAGAGGCCTGTAATTTTCATCATAGGTACACGTCAACTATGACAGACAAAATGAGAAAAATAATCCAGATAATCACATTGTAGGATTTTTTATGAATTTATTTGCAAATTATGGTGGAAAATAAGTATTTGGTCACCTACAAACAAGCAAGATTTCTGGCTCTCACAGACCTATAACTTCTTCTTTAAGAGGCTCCTCTGTCCTCCACTCGTTACCTGTATTAATGGCACCTGTTTGAACTTGTTATCAGTATAAAAGACACCTGTCCACAACCTCAAACAGTCACACTCCAAACTCCACTATGGCCAAGACCAAAGAGCTGTCAAAGGACACCAGAAACAAAATTGTAGACCTGCACCAGGCTGGGAAGACTGAATCTCCAATAGGTAAGCAGCTTGGTTTGAAGAAATCAACTGTGGGAGCAATTATTAGGAAATGGAAGACATACAAGACCACTGATAATCTCCCTCGATCTGGGGCTCCACGCAAGATCTCACCCCGTTGGGTCAAAATGATCACAAGAACGGTGAGCAAAAATCCCAGAACCACACGGGGGGACCTAGTGAATGACCTGCAGAGAGCTGGGACCAAAGTAACAAAGCCTACCATCAGTAACACACTACGTCGCCAGGGACTCAAATCCTGCAGTGCCAGACGTGTCCCCCTGCTTAAGCCAGTACATGTCCAGGCCCGTCTGAAGTTTGCTAGAGTGCATTTGGATGATCCAGAAGAGGATTGGGAGAATGTCATATGGTCAGATGAAACCAAAATAGAACTTTTTGGTAAAAACTCAACTCGTCGTGTTTGGAGGACAAAGAATGCTGAGTTGCATCCAAAGAACACCATACCTACTGTGAAGCATGGGGGTGGAAACATCATGCTTTGGGGCTGTTTTTCTGCAAAGGGACCAGGACGACTGATCCGTGTAAAGGAAAGAATGAATGGGGCCATGTATCGTGAGATTTTGAGTGAAAACCTCCTTCCATCAGCAAGGGCATTGAAGATGAAACGTGGCTGGGTCTTTCAGCATGACAATGATCCCAAACACACCGCCCGGGCAACGAAGGAGTGGCTTCGTAAGAAGCATTTCAAGGTCCTGGAGTGGCCTAGCCAGTCTCCAGATCTCAACCCCATAGAAAATCTTTGGAGGGAGTTGAAAGTCCGTGTTGCCCAGCGACAGCCCCAAAACATCACTGCTCTAGAGGAGATCTGCATGGAGGAATGGGCCAAAATACCAGCAACAGTGTGTGAAAACCTTGTGAAGACATACAGAAAACGTTTGACCTGTGTCATTGCCAACAAAGGGTATATAACAAAGTATTGAGAAACTTTTGTTATTGACCAAATACTTATTTTCCACCATAATTTGCAAATAAATTCATTAAAAATCCTACAATGTGATTTTCTGGATTTTTTTCTTCTCATTTTGTCTGTCATAGTTGACGTGTACCTATGATGAAAATTGCAGGCCTCTCTTACATTTTTAAGTGGGAGAACTTGCACAATTGGTGGCTGACTAAATACTTTTTTCCCCCACTGTATGTGCCCCACTATGACATACATGTGTATCTGAAATGCAGCTGTAGCTGCGGTAGGCCTACACATAATTTGCGACTACCAACACGCACAGATCAACTCGACAGAATGAGCACCAACCACTAGGCTATCAAAGATTCTTGCAGGCTTCATAGTTTAAAGCTGTAATATGTAACTTTTTCTGCGACCCACCAAATTCACATAGAAATGTGAGTTATAGATATATCATTCTAATTGAAAGCAAGTTTATGAAGCAGTAGATATGTTCTATGTGCGC